GATAGATCGAACATTGTGTACATTTCACAATACACTTCACAAAGAATGCGAGTAATTTTATCATCTACAACATATTAAGCAAGAAAAACTTACAAAGACGAAGCATGAACATTCCTTGAACCATATTATATGATTTTCAAACCAAAATTTCCTATTCGAGCGCAGTAAAAAGCACTGAAAGCGCAGAGGACATAAACATGACATACATTTCATATCCGAACTCTTCTTGTTTGCCCCCTGGCATACCCAAAATGCATTGCAAATACCGAGAAGGACTGGGGACCGGCAACTCATTCATTATACTAGAGTCAAAACAGTAGTGCAACACTAAATGCTCAGCAAATAGTGCTTATCAAACAACACTTCTATTCAATGTTTACAATACTTACAGCTTAATTTATACTAAACTGAAATAAGAGGATCACGTGCATTACACAGAAATGCACACACGCTCCACATCTGATTTGCCAATCCAATCAAGTTAAGTGGTACATCACCATCCCATATGTGATAGTTCTTAATTAAGTTGATTGCTCTTTCAATATGAATGCSCACACTTGCAATTTGCTGGGTGGCAAATTGAATGTCTTCAATTTGAAAACCCTTATCTGCCATAACAGTATCACCATCATTGTAATCCAAGTCTAATAAGCCACTTCTGGTTACAATCTCTCTATCTGATATACCCCCAGTGTATAACTGACTCACGAATGTGATGGCACCACTTGGTGCTATACCAACTAAGGCCTTGAAGGTAAGAGCTAAACATTTCTGAATTTAGAAGCAGGCTACTAGGCATCTCACAGGGAAGTTCAGTGCAGTCAATGATGACTCTGGTATTGGGATATTTCTCTTTAAATATTGCTGGCATTGTCTCGTGTACAAGTGATCTTGATAGTCAGATATTCACCTGACCACATTTCAGAAACRTATAATTTATGTATGTTGTAAATAGTCTACTGACTGTAGACTGTGAAACTCCAAACAGATGAGCCAAGTAAAGTTCAGCAAACCCCTTTCTTAATCTATACATCACTAGAAAGAACTCATCAATAACTGCAAGTTTCCTTGGTCTTCCAAGTTTTCTCTTCTGCGTGTTTGGAGATGTCTGATTCTCATCACCTTCTTCTTCCTCGATTGTATAAAATCAGCTGTAACATCGGTATTCTTAGACGTGTAATACCTAACATTCTCTCCTTTATCTTTTGTGTTCAGAAATTTGAAAATAGCTTCGAAGGTAAGATAGTTAGGAAAGCCATAAATAAAGTATAAATTTTCTTCTATGTCAGTCAATTTSTTTTGTAAAAGCAAGCATTCTTTTTCCAAGGCATCTCTCGTGACTTCACCATCAAACAAGGTATGAATCGCTTCATCATGCTCCGACTTAAGTTCAGCCACGAGTTTCTTGTTAGTTTCTTCTAACCGTTCTTTGTCAATCTGAAGTTMATTTACTTGATTTTCAAGTTCCCTTATCTGTTCTCTAAGTTTCTCGTTATCTGCCTTCACTTCCGAGAGTAGTTCTTCACATGTTTTCTCATGAAATACCTTGTCGATGGTAGCTGGTTGTTCGTCTACTGTTGTTGTTGTTGTCGAAGGACGTTGACGCTTAGTCAGTGATTTCCTCTTTCTTGGCGATACAGTCCAAGCAAAAATTGATGGTAAACTACCAGGCTTTAATGTCACAATCCCATTTCAGCAGGCTTAAAATGTCGAGAACATACTTTGGTGCGACAGGTGAGCTCAAAATCCTTCCCGGGTCTCTTCTTATTGCACGAATCCAGCTCTTTCTAACACCAGCATTTTCGGGGAAGTTAAAGAACGATATTTTAATTCCTTGCACATCGCGGTAGCCCTTAAAGGTACACTGAGGTACACAGCAGTGCGAAGGCATGAAAACAGCCAAAAAACACAAAACACTAGATCAGAAATACTAAATTGTAACAATGAGTCTAACAGTCATGGAATACTCATGGCTGACCGACCTCGTTTTCATGCAATTCGTTATCAGGCTCCAATACTGAAACGCTCGTTTTGCATAGCGTGTATGAAATTCTTTACTGAGGTCTTGGTGGCCTCGTTTTGGTGTTTTTGTGCATCTTCCAACACTTATAACTTCCAGAGGATTTAATATAATTTTTCTTTGAAACTTTCAGAGCTTATCTTTAGCTTTGATATCTATCATCTGAGTGTTCTTTTGTCAACATTATGAATTTAACAATAATATGCTAATTAGTGTGGGCCATTGTGAAAGTTGTGTATGATATAACTTTTCAGGTCAAATTCATTTAAACGAAATTTGCATATTTTGAATAATATAGACGCTCTTAAAGCGCCTTAAGTCGGGCTAGCTATTTTGGAAAACTGAGAAAGACARGATACTTAAAGAAGTTACTTAGAGTTCAGTTCGGTAAAACATTATGATGCAGTAAATAACTTATATTAATTAATTTAATTCAAACAAAGACTKTATCGTGAAAATGAATTACTTAAAGCTCAACGGCGGCAGCTGACCCATTTTCACAGCTACAGAAAGCCCACATAAGCGATCCATGATCGTCTAGTTTACGTGAGTATTGTTGATATATGACGCCTGTCACGCGATTATACTCAATAAGCAATCTACATTGACCGTTGCCATGTTTGACAAAAAGAATTGTTACAATAATTACCGTTTCAGAGCAAAAATGAATGTGAAATTACCTCGCATCGAAAATATATTATAAAGGCAACGRTATTATATTATCAAATGAAACAAATACAATAAACGTGGTTTAATCAATATTTTGTTCTGTTTYCCTTATTCTTTACAATTTCTTGTAGATGCTTTGGCATAGTATCGATAGTTTTGCCACTTCATGTGTAGTAATTCGATGAAATGCGTTCTTTATTCTGCTCTTAATTCATCAAATGACTCATTAATTATCATTGAAATAGCTTCCTTCTTTAAGTCTGTTTTAACGGTATTAAATATGTTTTCTATGGGGTTGAGATCAGGAGATTGTGGCGGAATTGCATGAATTTCAGCCTCGATTTTTTCTATTTCACACAATGCTCTATGGCTGTTTTGAGAGGGGTCATTATCCATTACAAACAATCTTAAGGAGTTATGCTTAGGCCCTGCTAGACCAAACATTAATTTCATATGATTGCGAACAAATTGTGAGAAATACTCACCGTTCATGTGTTCATAGTTGTCTGTCCCGATAACGCCTTTACCATAAGCAATAACCACCATCATGTGAACTCRACATCCTCCGGCTAAAGACTTATTCCCTTTGGCTGTAATAGACAGACCTTCTTCTTGTTTGCGCCACAMCCTTCCCTTAGGATTTGTCGATTCTTAAAAGGGATTATATTTGTGTACAAACGAGACTGCATCAAGGTAAAATCCAATATGATTTACATAAAAGCTTGGATACTCTTGTAATAGCTTTAGCATAGCACGAGCATATTGCAATCTCWTCGTCTTGTCAACATCTGATAGCAAACCCTTCCTCCTGTTAGTTTTAAAACGCTCTTACTTTCCCTCAACATTACTTAGTTAGATAATTATGGTTCACGTAGGAAACGTGTCGTATAGCTARTCCCTACTCACTAATCTTAGATAAGATCATTAGTCATCATTACGTTATTACGTAGGAGACTTCAAGTTCCGTAGGAAAAACGTAACGCTTGTATGCATACGTAAGCCTTCCTGCACGTTCGAGAATTACGTAAAACATTGCCGCAACCCCCTAGGCGTAGACACAAAAATATGCTTACAAATCCTTATAAAAGAAGCGCGCTACTAAGGCAAATCAGTTAAACTCAGGAGCAGTAACTCAAGTTAGTTCTACCAAGTTTCAAGATCATAAGGATCTTTCAAGTTTGCTATTATTCTACGAATTGCTATCCTTCAGAGTGCAAGCGTAAACCAAAGTAAGTTACCTTTTCTATTATTATAGCTTTACGTCTAGTATTCGCTCGATATATGTTTATTAGTTATGATTCTA